GGGGTGAAAAGTAGCTGTTTAGGTCCCTCCTGGGCAGGGACAGAACTGAAACCTTGTTCCTTTTGCGGTTGGGGCGGAGGCAGCGCCCGCGGAGTTTTCAGTGACAAGTTTCACCACCGAGTGCTGATTAGAGGAAATACTGCAACTGTCGTTAACCCTTTCCAGCGGGGTGGCACACGGGACAGCAGGGTGGCACAGGGGGCACACAGCTCACCCTCCTGCCCGCTCCAGCCACTCTCCTGTCTGTCCTGGTGTCCCGGCAGCTCCCGGGGCCAGAGGGGCCCGTGCCGTGCCCTACTGCTGGCTGGGCAAAGGTCCTGCTCCGACCTCTGTCCCCGGCCCCACCCGCGCCCGGCCATGGAGCTGCCGGGGGCCCTGAGCCCCCCGTGGTGGCTCCTGCTGCTCCTGCCCTCGGGGCTGCTCCTCTGGGCCAGGCGCAGACCCCCCTGGGACCCCCGCAAGTGTCCCACCGACCTGACGGGCAAGACGGTGATTGTCACCGGAGCCAACAGCGGTGAGCGGGGACGGGACATGTGTGTGGGTGACACGGAGCTGTGGGGTGTCCTGTGGAGAACATGGGTGTCCCTTCTCCAGCCCTGGAGCCCAGCCCCTGCCTTGGGGCTGCAAACGGCTGTGGGAGCAGCCGGTGGCTGGTCCCTGGGAACCCACAATGGGATCCCCATGCCCCGTGCCCATGGCACCTCATGCCGGGTGGGTACTCCTCGTGCCCCCTGCCCACTCTTGGTGTCCAGACTCTGTCCTGGCTGCGTTAATGACTGGCAGCCAAGGTCACCCCACTGCCGGCCACCACGGCCACCCTGTCACACCAGGGAGGGGGTCACTGCTCCCACCTGTGTCCCACTGCTGAGCACGGGGTCGGGCTGGCACAGCCGAGGACACTGGGACCCCCAGGTTGGGACTGGGGTGTCCCCATGTGCCCAGGGACAGGGTGGCCCCATGTGTGTGCTCAGCTCCATTCCCACCCCAGTGCCCGTGGCTTCCCGCTGTGCCAGAGCACTGACACAGAGCTGTGTGGGCACTGGGCTGGGGGGGTTTGGGGCCCGCAGCAGGGGCTGCCCAGACCCTGGGGACAGCAGGTGACCCCCGGGGACCCCTCGCCGTGGGGGCCCGGCGGGGATCAGCCCGGCCCGCTCCGTGTGCCGCAGGCATCGGCAAGTGCGTGGCCATGGACCTGGCGCGCCGGAACGCCCGCACCATCCTGGCGTGCCGGAGCCGGGAGCGGGGCCAGGCGGCGGTGGAGGAGATCCGGGCGGCCACCGGGAACCCGGCGGTGGTGCTGCGACTGCTGGACACGGGCTCGCTGGCCTCGGTGCGCGCCTTCGCCCGCGCCGTGCTGCGGGAGGAGCCGCGGCTCGACGTGCTGGTCAACAACGCCGGTGTCACCGGTACGGCCCCGCGACCCCCGGGGGTCCAGCGCCCCGCCCCTTTTGTGCTGCCCACACAGTGCCCACCCCCCTTTTCCAGGGCTGCCCTTCACCATCACTTCCGAGCGGCTGGAGCAAACCTTCACCACCAACTACCTGGGCCCGTTCCTGCTCACCAACCTGCTGCTGGGTGTGTGGGGGGCCGGGGGGCTCTGGGGTGCCCTCCCCTCTCACACCATTCCTGCTCCCCCCCTGCTGCTGGGTGAGCACAGGGGCGTGGGGGATCCCGGGCCCCCTCCCCGCTCACCCCCTGCTCCTCACAGACCTGCTGAAGGCCTCGGCGCCCTCGCGGGTGGTCAATGTCTCGTCGTTCCGGCACAGCGTGGGCACGGCTGACAGCAGGTTCCTCACGGGGCAGCGGCACCCGGGTGGGTACGACGCTGCCTACAGCAGCACCAAGCTGATGAACCTGCTCTTCACCGCGGAGCTGGCGCGGCGTCTGCGCGGCACAGGTGGGTGCCAGGCTCGGCCGTGCCATGGGGCACCCCCAAGGGCCACCCCCATCCCAACCCCTCTGTGCTGTTGTGCCACGGCCCAGGGGCTGCCGATGGTGCTGGGGGGTCTCACCCCAGTCGGAGACTCCCCAGAACATGCGTGGGCAGCAGAACCCTGGTCAGGGTGGCCCTGGTGCCAGGCACGGGGGAGGCCCTGCTCCGAGGGCGGGCTGGGGGTTCTCCCACCGTTCCCTGTGATGCCCTGGTGTGGCACTGACGCTGAGGCCTGGCAGGGGTGACGGCCAACGCGCTGAGCCCCGGCGTGGTGAGCACCAGCATCATGCGCCACTTCAGCTGGGCCGTGCGGGCGCTCTTCGTGCTCCTGCGCCCCTTCGTGAAGGTGAGCGGGGCCGGGTCCTGCCCGGCCCGGGGCAGAGGGTGGGCAGGGGCTGCAGGACCCCCCTGACCCCCGTGCCCCGCAGTCGGCCGAGCAGGGCGCTGCCAGCACCATCTTCTGCGCCGTGTCGGAGGAGGCCGAGGGCATCAGTGGGAAGTACTTCGACAGCTCGTGCCGGCTGGCGCTGCCCTCGGCGCCCGCCCGCGACGCCGCGCTGGCACGGAAGCTCTGGGAGGCGTCGGAGCAGCTGACGGGGCTCACGGAGGGACCCCGGGGCTGAGCCCTCGGGACGTGGCCACACAGGGAGACCCTCAGGGTGGGCAGGGAGACAGGATCACCCCTCCGGTTGCCGTGTGCCCCCCCGTGCCACCCAAGGGATGACACAGCGCCGGCCAGGTGGGACTGTGACCCTTTATTAAAGCCCCCAGTGCCGTCACTCCCAGGTGATGTCCAGGTCCAGGCGCTGCCTCCGCACAAACTGCAGGAACCCGTCGTAGTCGCGCCGGTGGATGTCGGGGCAGCGGGACAGGTCCAGGCGCCGCAGGGGCCCCTCGGAGCCCAGCAGGTGCCACACGGTGTGGGGGGACACTTGGCTTCCAGCCAGCGAGAGCTCCTGCAGCTCCCCCAGCTCCGGCTCCAGCACCGAGTCCAGCGGGAAGGGCAGGGCGAGCAGGCGCAGGCTCTGCAGCCGCGGGGCCCGGCTCAGCACCGAGGCCAGCGTGGAGCCCAGCACCGGCACGTGAGCGGCTGGCACGGGCCCGGCCAGGGCCAGCGAGAAGCTCTGGAGCTGGGGCAGCCCCTGGGGCAGCAGGTCGGTGGCCCAGCGGGGTGGCAGGGCGGGGGGCTCGGCAGGGGCGTGGGGGTCCGGAGGAACGTGCAGCTCGGTGCTGAAACTCTGCAGGCCGGGGCAGCTGGCGAGCAGGGCGGGCAGCGACAGCGGGTCGGGGCAGCTGAAGCCGTGCAGGGTCAGGGCGTGCAGGCGGGTGCCCAGGGCCTCTGCCAGCGGCAGCACCTCTGCCAGTGCCCGGCCACGCTGCCCGGCACAGCCCAGCGTCAGCCGGGACAGGCACTCCCAGCCCGGCAGCTCCCGCAGCCCCGCGGGGCCGGGCCCGTCCCCCAGCCACACGCTGAGCTCCTCGGCCCGGGGACACACGGCGTGGACGGTGCCCAGGGCGTCCTCTTCCAGCTCCTCGAGCTGCCGCAGGGGCAGGGTGAGCGGGGGCCCCCCCGGCGCCGCCCCCCGGCCCCGCGCCAGCTCCCGCAGCGCCGGGAAGCCCTCGGGGTCGGCGGTGCCGTCCAGCCGCCCCCCGTGGAGCAGGCGCAGCGCGTCCGGCAGGGCCCCGTGTGCCAGCACGTCCAGGTGCGGCAGGGCCAGCAGCAGGAAGGCCACGGCGGCCACCGCGTCCCCGTCGGGCTCCAGGTCGCGGGCCAGCAGCACGCGCAGCGCGGGGCAGCCGGGGGTCCGGGCCACGGGGTCGTAGCCCAGGTGCCGCAGGGCGCGCGGGGTCACCTTCCTGCAGCCGGACACGTCGAGCTCCCGCAGGAGGCGGCAGCAGGAGCCCACGGCCGACAGCACCTGCACGTTGGCCTGCGTGTGTGCCAGCCCCAGGCGGCTCAGCCGGGGCAGCCCCTCGGCCACGTCCACCAGCACGGCCGGGGAGAGCCGCCCGCAGCCCCCCAGGTCCAGGGAGCTCAGGCCCTGCAGTCACACGGGGAGACCCTCAGCGGGGCGGGCAGGGGGGTGTGGATCCCCCATACCCACCCGTGGTGGGTGGGCACCCCCTGCCCCACAGAGGGTGGGCACCCCAAGATACCAAGCAAGATCTGGGACCCCCACCCACTGCCCCTTTCCCACGGACCCTGGCACCCCCAGCCCCACTTCCCCGGCCCCATGGTGGGTGGGCATCCCCAGTGTCACAGAGGATGGGCCCCACTCTCCCAATCCCACGGAGCACAGCACCCCCAGCCCCACGGAAGGTGGGCTTCCCCAGCCCCATGGACCATGGCACCCCCAGCCCCACGGAAGGTGGGCTTCCCCAGCCCCATGGACCATGGCACCCCCAGCCCCATGGAAGGTGGGCTTCCCCAGCTCCATGGACCATGGCACCCCAGCCCCTCTCCCCCATCCCCGCAGAGAGTGGCACCCCGAGCCCCAAGGCCCGTGACAGCCCCCCAGGGAAGCTGTGCCCCCGCTGCCCCGTGCCCACCTGGCAGCGCAGGACGATGAGGTGCCCCAGGGCGTTGTTGGCCAGGGAGGGGCAGTGCCGCAGGCTGAGCTGGCGCAGGTGAGGCAGCAGCAGCAGGTGCAGCGCCGCGCGCGACAGGCGCCGGCTCGTCCCCAGCAGCCGCAGCAGCTCCTGCACCAGCCCGCAGGCTGGGGGCACGGCTCAGTGGGGCACCCACCCACCAGGGCAACGGGGGCCAGCAGGGCTCGGCACCCCCATTCACCCCACACAAGGGTCAGCGGTGCCCGGCACCTCCACCCGCCCCACATCGTGGTCTCAGGGCCCTGGCACGGCCACCCACCCACCTGGGGGTCAGCGATACCCCTCCACCCATCTGGGGGTCCCAGGGCCCTGGCACCACCTCCTGCCCAGCATGGGGGGCTCAGGGACCCTGGCACACCCCCTCCCCTCCCCTGGGGGTCCCAGGGCTCACCCAGGTCGTTGAAGGGGCCCACGAGGAAGCGGAACTCGTACTCGTCCAGGTAGTTGTCACTGTAGTCCTTGGCCCAGAAGCTCTGCATGTGCTGGGCCAGGCTCTGCAGGCACAGCGAGGCCAGCGTGGGCACTGCCCGCCGACGGGGCATCCCTGGGGCGGCACAGGGATGGGGACAGTCAGGGATCAGCCACTGTGGGCACTGCC